TTTTTTTTTTTTTTTTACCTCTGATGCAATTCCCTGTAACAGGAATAACAAGAAAAATATCAACAAAATTATTAAGGACAAAAATATATGGAATACATTATCAAGAGTATCAAATTTTAATTAACCTGCGTCCTTGAATATAGCTGAGTATTCTCATGTCCTTTATATCCAAGGCAAATGTATATGTACTAATAATTATAAACCATAATGTCCGTCCAAAGCATGTCCTTTTAGGTATCTTTATTGTACACACTATTACAACATCTTTCCTATCTGTCTAATCATCTAATTAGTTATTCTATGTTCCAGTCTATATGTATTCCTACAGATGACATGGGTATGCTATCCCTTTGGTGCCGTGGGGGTAGTACTACATATTACATCACTCAGGATACTACAGCAGATAAAATTATGATCTGATTAACATTATATCAGTGACTCCATGAATTAAATCAGATGGCAGTTATGATGAAAAGGTCCTTCATACAAAATGCATTACATAAAATAAACACAACTCGGTAAATCTTAAGTTAATTATGGTGTTAATAAACTGTGTCAGAGGAGTGATCATAGCTCTCTGCATCCGCAGTGCTGTGTCTATCTCCCTGCCAGCTCCCAGATCAGCTTCACCGATTGGTTGAAGTGACTCGTCAAGCAGTAAAAGTTAATGTTTTCCAACTACAGCAGTTACAGCTTCTGAAGCGCATCCCGTGCATCAGATGCTCAGAAGCTCATGAGGCGCTGCTCCTGCTGCTCAAAATGAGATGTAGTAACTTTTGCTGCTCCTTGATGCGAGTTAACCATAGACTTTGCAGGTAAACTAGCTGCTTCTCTTCCCTTTGCTGCCTGCATGCTGAACATAGCATAAAACTTTTAGGAACAACAGCTCCCAGTCCCAGTGCTGCTGTCAGGTGATTCATCTCTCTCCATTAGGAACTTCTTGATGCGGTCAAGTGTTGCTTCTTTCGACCACTCTGATGCACCTGCAAATTTTAAGCCCACATCGCCTGTTACTGAAAAAGGAGATGAAATGTACGTTTAATAAAATGAATACGTGTAGGAAAAATTCAGAATTCTCAATAGAGAGGTACAGACCTTCTTCTCTCTAGTCACCACCTCCACCAGTTATTTTGTTCTCAACGAAAAACGCTTAAAGGCTGAAACTTGGAAGCTGGGTCAAAAGCTGGGTCAATGCTGGTTGCATTGACGTTTCAACGCTCTGGATGCTCTGCGTTCTTGATGTTTGCTGTGTTCTGTAGCTATAACTAGAGCAGAGGTCTGTTTCAAAAATTAGGCTTACTGAAAACTGCCTCTTCTAAACCTCCAAAACAGGGAAACTGAGTTTTCCGTTTCACAAAGAGAGTTTTCTCAACCTCTGTTTCTCTTGCCATAGTAACATTCTTCCCAGAGGTAACCTGGTCGGGAGCAGATTTAGGTTTTTGTTCAATAAACTCAGTTTTCTCTGACCGAGGACACTCTTGGAGCGTAGTTTGTTGTAGTTTTGTAAATACAATTAAAAAAATGGTCTTGGGTCCGTTAGATACATCAGGCTTTAAAAAGAAACATTGCATGACCTTTTGAAAAGGATCTTATTAAAGAATGATCCACATAATTCATAGAGAATTAAACATTTATAGAGAAAACTACGTTTTCAACTCAGTACCATAATACACAATTGAATGTTTTTTGTCAGCAGGTTTTAACATTTTTAGTTAACTTAAGTATTTATAAACTGTTTCGCCATAGTTTTGTTGTGTAGTAGCCCACATAACAATCCATTCTTATGCCTTTTTTTTTTTAAACCTTTAGAGTTTAACCCC